CCTCTCCCCTCCTCTCTTTCTGACTACAGCTTAGAGAATCTCTATCAATGGATTCTCCTCTAAGAGAAGTCTCCCTCCGATTTACGTGCATCTCCGCACCAATCGGCTTTCCCCCATCTCTTAGTTTAAAAACTGCTCTACGGCCTTTTTAATGTTTAGTGCCAGCAGTCTGGTTCCACCCTGGTTTATGTGGAGCCCATCCTTCCTGTATAGGCTCCCCCTCTCCCAGAAGTGTCCCCAGTTCCTAATAAATCTAAACCCCTCTTCCCTTCATCATCGTCTCATCCACGCATTGAGACTCTGAAGCTCTGCCTGCCTACCTGGCCCTGCGCGTGGAACTGGAAGCATTTCCGAGAATGCCACCATAGAGGTCCTGGATTTCAGTCTCTTTCCTAGAGAAAATATATCTCAAAGAACTACTATTTACTGTAATGCTAGTAACCATTATTTTTTTGTTGAGGGATTGTAAAGATTGATTCTAATCTTGATGACTAACACTATGTTGTCTACGTGGAGGTTGGTAGTAGGGGACTGCATGACAACCCTACAAGAGTGGGATCAGCCTTGAAGAATCCACCAAACAGTAGTGTTTTCTAAATGTAGTGTCCTTGTAGCTGCCCTACAGATTTCAGAAATAAGGACATTCTTCAAAGAGGCAGCAGAGGCTGCCTGAGCTCTAGTGGACTCGGTATATTCTGTTAGCTTGCTTGGATGTGGCCAAGTGGATGCTGGTATGTGCTAGAGATCTTCTGAGGTTCCACTGTCCTTTGTACGCATGGTGAGCCTGCCAAGTATAGAAGAATGCATAATGTCCAGGAGTTTGAGATGTTTCCCCTGCAGACTTTCAATCTGAGCCTCCTGGGCTCTGATTGGCTGTTCTGTGTAGCCTCTCTAGGTAGGCCCAGACAACCCATCTTCAATGGTCCTTTCCTAAATCACAGTGTAGTAGGATCACAGGGCTTCTATATTTCAAATCTCTGCCAGAAAGAATAAGACTGACCAAAGTACTACAACGAGGGACTGACAATGGGTGAGGAATACGAAAAAGGATGTTCCCTATGAAAACCTTGTTTCCTGACATAGACAAATATACCTCTCCAGAGACTCTTCCTGATTGCCATTGTACTATCTATGGAAGAAGAGTGGGTTGGGAAGAAGAACAGTTTCTATTATGCCCCACTGGGGGGCAAAGAAAAGGTACACAAGGGAAAGGCCATGCTGTCAGGAACTCTCTGGCTCTGTTGTGCTTTCCCCTGGGGAGGGGTGAAATTAGTATCAGAGATACCTCCTTAACATTCTATGGCTAGTGGCTTACCAGCCACCATACCAGAAAAAAGGAAGCATCCCACACAGAAAAGTATTGAATGGCTCCTGAAGCCACTATTATTTTCACTCTCTTGCAAAAGCACAGGTGGGACATATCACCAGCAGCTGTTTTTCTCCCAGGCCTTCTTGATACCCAGTACATACAGCTTCTCAACCAGACAAATCATCTGCTGTTTCTGTTCTATTCTGCATAGGTTCTTGTACTATGCTCACTATGGCAATATTTGAGAAACTAGTTCTACAGCTACTTTATGCTGCCATTAAGGTTTTTGCAATATGAAACTGGAAGCTCATTGCATGGCCAAATCAGAGGAAGAAGTTCATGGTCAAAAATATCATCAGATAACTAGTGCAAAATACGATGAAAATTAGGAATTATCATGAAATAGATCGCCTCTCTCTTAAATACATAAAATGCTCTACAGTGAAAAATATGCGGTTTGGAAAAAACAACTGAAAATTAAAACAGGTATAAAATATTTGTGCACAAAATACATATGACTACCCATAGAATACATCTGACTGCATATGATAAAACAAGGAGTCCAGTGGCACTTTAAAAACTAACAAATTTATTTGGGCATAAGCTTTTGTGGGATGCTTGAAAAGAAAAGAAAAAAGGAAGGGATAGAAAGATGGGAGTGTGACATCAGTGCTAATTAATTTTAGCTAGGGGCTGTAGGCAATGGTTAGCGGATACTGTTGTTTTCTTGTTTAGTCTGTTCTGTAGTCAGCAGTACTGCTATGGATATCCGCATGGCCTCACACAGTATGCCAACATTTTTATGGCCGACTTAGAACAACGTTTCCTCGGTTCTCGTCCCTAAGTGCCCCTTCTCTGCTTGCGCTACATTGATGACATTTTTATCATCTGGACCAGGGTGGACAATAAAACAGTGGCAGTTTGTCAGGATTAACCCCTGGAGGGCTGCTGCTACTATATTTACCAGCGCCTCCACAGGTGAAGGGGGATTGCAGCTCCCATTGGCCACACATAATATTTCCTGATCAATGGGAGCTGAGGGAAGTGACACAGACCGGGATACTGCTTTCCCATAGCTCCCATTGGCCAGGCTAACCATGACAATCTGGATCTGGCCCATGGGCCAGTATTTGCCCACCCTAATATGGATCCATGGGAAGGAGGCCCTTGAAGAATTCCATTGGGATTTCAACAATTTCCACCCCACCATCAATCTCAGCCTGGACCAGTTCACACAAAAGATCCACTTCCTGGATACTACAGTGCAAATAAGTGATGGTCACATCACCACCACTCTGTATCAGAAACTTACTGACCGCTATACTTAACTGTATGCCTCCAGCTTTCATCCAGAACACATCACACAGTCCACTGTCTACAGCCAAGACCTAAGATACAACTGCATTTGCTCCAATCCCTCAGATGTAGACAAATACCTACAGGGTCTCTATAAAACATTCTTAAAACTATAATACTCCCCTGCAGAAGTGAAGAAACAGATTGACAAAGTCAGGTGGATACTAAAAAGTCACCCTACAGGACAGACCCAAAAAAGAAAACAACAGAATGCCACTAGTCATTACGTATGGCCTTTAGCTAAAACCTCTTCTACATATCATCAAGGATCTACAACTTATCCTAGAGGATGATCCCTTGTTCTCACAGACCCTGGGAGGCAGGCCACGCTTTGCTTACAGACAGCTTCCCAACCTGAGACAAATACTCATTGCCAACTTCACATCCCACAACAGAAACACTAACCCAGAAACCGATCCTTGCAACAAATCCTGTTGCCAACACTATCTACACATCTACCCTAGTGACACTATCACAGGAGCTAACCACACCAGTTATACCATTAAGGGTCATTTATGTGCACATCTACTAATGTAATATATGCTATCATATGACAGCAATGCCCCTCTACCATGTACATTGGACAAACTTGACTGACACTACACAAAAGAATAAAGGGACATGTGATGGGGCGAACAGACCCCACACTGAAGGGCTGGGAGTAGCCCAGGCCCAGCTGGCTGAAAGAGCCCTGCCCCTCCAGCAGAGCCAGCATATAAAGACAGAGGGAGCCCGTCAGGAGGAGAGGCAGCTGGAGGGAGAAGGGCCAAGCTGCAACCCCGGTGTTCCTGCAGCAGCTGAGGCCAGAGAGAGGACCAGCATCGGACTCCGGGAGTGAAGCCGGCAGGCAACCCCGCTTGAGGGACGGGACCACCTACACCGCCAGCCCCGGTAAAGACTGCCGCTGAGGCGGACAGACTATAGGGGTTCTAGGGTGGTAGAAAGCAGCCCAGGGCAAGGGATTGCTATCAGCTTGGTGTGTATTGGCTGGATTCCCCACCGAGCAGACAAGAGCAAGCGTCCCTGCCTACAGGGCCCTGGGCTGGGACCCGGTGGAGAGGGAGGGCCTGGGTCCCCCTACCACTCCTTTCCACATCCTGGGCAATCACACATGTGCAAAGTTAAACATTTAAATATTTGCAAGATCAGAGTTTCAGTGTGTCAAGAGTTCATGTACACTCATAAGTAGTCCTACCTAATCAAGCCCCAATCAGTCACACTCTAATGAATTCACTTCATCAGTTTCTAGTCAACTGAACTACTCATAGTCTGCAAAATTAAATGTGTGTGTAAATCTGTGCAGGATTGAAGCTTCCATGTACACAGTGAATGATATCAGTCTTATAAGTTTTTACACATAATGCACAAGTGACAACAGGACACTGTAAGATGGTTTAGTACAACTTCTATTTTTAAAGTCATCATGAATACATGATGTATATATAAGATGTATGTTTTAAACTCTTACCAGCTGGCCAAAACAGACTGCCACAGTATTATGGGAAGACACATGTCCAATTTAAAGATTAATTCTATATAAAAATTAAGTTGCAACTTTTTTTTGAGAGGAAAAAGTGGGCTGCATTTTAAAAAAATACATACTCAAACATTGAGAAGACCTAGAAAAAACAAGTCTAAAAGATTAAAGTTTGAGAAAGTTATAAGCCACTGCAAACTTTTGAGATGTTAATAGCTCTCTGTCTGACTATAAAATTTAAAAGTAGAATATGAGGTACACTTTAAAATAAAAATGAAAACAGCTGCTGGGGGTGAATGGTTTCATTAATAGAACCATAAAACTAGTTAAGATTTCTTTTTTTCTCCAGTGACTGTATGTTTACTGATGTTAATTGGGTGCAAACATTACCTGTCAGTGACTTGGGTGCTACCAGAAGTAGGGCTCTCTTTCCTCATAAACTTTTCAAACTTCTTAATTTCCATGTATACATCCTAGAGAAACAAGAAAAATTGAAATGTCTCCTCTATCTTCCCTAAAACTATAAAAAGATTCAATTACTAATTTGTATTTTACAAATACAACTATTATACAAAAAAATGTTAATGCCTTAGAACAAATTATATTGCATCAGCTAGTCCAGGGTGACAGAAGACTGGCCTATGTCATACTCCTACAAAAAAGTCACCTCACTGCATTTTCCTCTTTGCCTACATACAAGTTAGCTCATTGTAAACATAGCATCTGAAATTTTGCAGTCTTCCATTTTGCACCATATGGTTTGCTAGATAACTGTGTAAAGCCACTTCAAGCTCTGGTGAAGAATTTGTTCCATTCAGGGTTTTTTAATTTTACTGTTCTTTGCCAAACATGTTATAATTTGGATTGAGTAGTCCAAGCAGTCCTATATTATTCCATGTGTGACCCAGCTCATTTGATAAATTCTAAAAGAATAGAGCCAACTAAATTCTCTTACCTTCAAACTTCTCAACTAGATTTGGTTGTACATAATGAGTCAGGGTGAAATTTGACAAATCATAAGTGTGACGGGGCAAGGCAGCCCCACACTGAACATGCAGGGCCCAGCCAGGGTTACCTAGCTGCAGAGGCCCCTCCCCCGCAGCCCTACCGAGCATGCCCGGGCTTTAGCTCCACTATAAAAGCCTGGGGAAGGACTCAGTTTGGAGAGACAGCTGGAGGAGAAGGACTGGGGAAGGGGGTTCCTGCACAGCTGTCACTGGAGACTCCAGGAGAGGCAAGCTGGTGCGACCCAGGGACAGCCTGCTGAGGAGATGCCGGCCCGGAGGCCACAGCAAGCTGGCGAGTATAGGGGACGGAACCCCAGGGAACCAAGTAGGAAGTGGCCCAGGGTAGGAGCAGGAACCTCGTCTCCTGCCCAGAGAACCTCGGTGTGTTTTGGCCGGATTGCCCTGCCGAGGGTGTAACCCACTTACCTGGTCGCTCACAGGGCCCTGGGCTGGGCCCTGGGCCAGGACATGGTGGAGTAGGGTGGGCCTGGGTCCCCCTATCTGGGGTGTGTCCCCGCTACAACCCTAAACTGTGTTGTGGACTCAGGCCGGAGGGCCTCGGCCTTGCCAAAAAGGGCCAGACATGGACTGTGCTTCGGACTCTGGCCGGAGGGCCTTGAACTTAAGAGAGTAGGTGGGAGGGGCCCGCCACAGTTACTGATACAACTTCCACTTATTTCAAGGTTGGTAGAGTGATCCTAAAACATTACAAAGGATTAATTTAAGACCTGATTCTGTACTATTTACTCTGAAAGAACTCTCATTGATGTCAATGGGAGATTTCCCTAAATAAAGCAGACAGGATCAATCCCATAAATGTTACTGGGCTATATTTCCTACTACATTTGTCAGTTTTATGCTGACGTAACTGTTGAAATATGCCATTTGGTATGCATATAATCTCTAAGAATAAATTTAGTGTTACTAAAATGGGGTATGTCTACACTACCCTGCTAGTTCGAACTAGCGGGGTAATGTAGGCATACTGCACTTGCAAATGAAGCCCGGGATTTGAATTTCCCGGGCTTCATTTGCCTAAGCGGGGAGCTCAGTTTTATGCTGACGTAACTGTTGAAATATGCCATTTGGTATGCATATAATCTCTAAGAATAAATTTAGTGTTACTAAAATGGGGTATGTCTACACTACCCTGCTAGTTCGAACTAGCGGGGTAATGTAGGCATACTGCACTTGCAAATGAAGCCCGGGATTTGAATTTCCCGGGCTTCATTTGCCTAAGCGGGGAGCCGCCATTGGCTCCCCGCTTAGGCAAATGAAGCCCGGGAAATTCAAATCCCGGGCTTCATTTGCAAGTGCGGTATGCCTACATTACCCCGCTAGTTCGAACTAGCGGGGTAGTGTAGACATACCCATGTATAGCAATAAAATTAACTCTTACCTGTGCTTCTTTTTTCTTTTTTAACATTTTTTGGGCTTCCATAGCTTTCAAGGTACGGTTTGGTGGTGGTTTTGGAATCTGTATAATAGCTGCTTGAATCCTGGCCATTATTTCATTTTGCCTCCTTCTTCCTTTACGATGCTGAAAATACAGTATAAAGCTGTTCAGTTACTTGAATGTATATAAAAATACGCTATAAATGTATTGTAATTTACCCATAGAAAAATTATTATTAGCAGAAAGTACTTGAACAAAACAAATTCTAATCTTGCATCTACAAAAACTTTTAATTAAATCATTTTGCAAAAAGTAGAATATTAAAGTGAAATCAGCCTCTCCATGTCTCTTGTATGTAATTAAGTCTTAACTCAAAATAAAGTCACTAACCTGATTTGTCCCCTTTATGCATGTCAATCTTTTTTGGGGGCCAAAGACAGGTCTTGTAAATTAATTTTCTAACTGATTAATAGTCAGGGTAACATCCTAGCATGCTGTGGCTTCACAGGCAGTTGGAGAGGGAAGTATACTAGTCAAACAGCAGTATCAGAGGATCTTTGTAATTCACTACGGTCTTAGGACTGGTAGGGGTGGGAAACAGTACACAAATAAATGACCCCTGCTATGTTCCTCCAGTCATTATGCATCTTTACTGGTATGCTGGATCAGTATTCACCTCATCCACATCCTGTGCAGATAGGCACCAACAGCAGCAAGTAGTACTGCCAGCCCTGCACTCTCTCCTCTCCCCTCCACTCCACTATGAGGATGCACTAATTTGTGGTTCTTCCCCATTTAGTGCCATCACAGAGGAAGAGGGATAGACCTCAGCATTTCACTACTTTTTTAACTGAACTCCATTACAGAAAGTATAAGTGTGCTTCCACAAAACATGACAATTGATCTGACAAACAGAGGATTTTCTAATAATCACAATTTGTAATAAGTATATTTTTAACATTAAAAACTGGTAATATAATAAAGACTTTCTTGTTTCACTGACAATTACATATGTTCAGGGGCGGATATACGGTAGGGTGAGTGGGGCGGCTGCCCCGGGCCCCGTGCTTCAAGAAGCACCGTGCATGTGCCGTGGCACCACCACGCATGCACCGTGTCAAAGGGGTGGGGGGGAGGCCCGCAAAATTGTCATCTACCCCTGCATATGTTAACATTCTCCTTTTTTTCCATTTCTCTTCTTTCTCTAAGAGAAAGTGGCATGGACCCTTACCATTTTTCCTGTCTCTGCTTTTTGCAGGAGTTTTTTTGGGGTTTTGTTTTTTTGTGGGGGCTGTCTCTTCTATTTTCCCCTTTCACCATCCCAAATCATCTCTCTCAAAAGGCCTTTAGAATTAAATTGGATTAAAAAAAAAAGGTGAAACTGAAAGTAATACTCATTCAACAACTGATTTATAGACGACTGAAGAACTGTGTCCCCGAATAATATTGAATTGCTACTCTGAATTGAGGGAAAAGTGCATTGATAGGCATTCTATTTTCTTTTTTCCATTTTTAGAACTAATAGGGACCCCAGGTGATGTCTCAGAAGCATTTAAAAAACAGACAGGCATCAATTCTCTTTTAGCTATCAATTATGAATATAAAGCGGGAAAGAGGTGATGCTTCATTAGTGGGTCAGGAGATGAGACAGATACCAAAGTAAGACCAGTAAGCATGTTTCATTCAATTAGGTATACATGGGTAAGAGTTTGAGGTAAGGTGCAAAAAGCAATTTCCTGAGATTAAACAAACAAAAACAACCCCCAAAACAGAGCATTATATCAAAGTTAAGAGAAGCACATTTTTATTTTAAAGGTATTTTAAATGTCATTTATATTTTTGGGGGGCAGAGGGCGGGGAAAATATTTAGATGGGTATGGATTTTTTTTTTTATATACTGATAAAACCTACTTAATAAATCACAGTAAGACTCTCAATGTTGTGTGTCATGTTTGGATATTTCAGCTTCTTATGTCCTTTGTCCTTTGTTCATATTCCTAATCAGTGCTTTTTTTGTAAGAAAAAAGGTGCTGGTACTCCAGGCTCAAAGTTGTTGAGCCAAAAAAACCCGTGCCTGGGGCCAAAATGCGGTTGTGTCCCCTTTAAGAGCTGCATGTCCCAGGTGGGCTTCCATTGGGAGACAACCTGCCCCAGGAAACAGGAAATAGGTGCTGGTATGCCACAGGGGAATCCCATTCAATTCAAGTAAGATGGGAAAATAGGTGCCGGTACGCCGTCCCGGGGCATACTGTCACAAAAAGCACTGTTCCTAATAATCCACTTGAATTATGACAATATACAAAACACATTAAACACTTTATTGTCCTAGTTTGTGTGTATATTAAGTATTAATATTTTAAGTGATTTATAAAACACTACCGTATTTTCCGGCGTATAGGGCGACTGGGCGTATAAGACGACCCCCTATCTTTTTAATTAAAAGATAGGGTTTCATCTTATACCCCAGCGCCCCTCCGCCTCCTTTGCTCCCGGTGTCCCTGGTCTGCTGGAGCTGGTCCCCAGCAGACCAGAGGCACCGGGAGCAAAGCCGCCAGGAGCGCCAGGAGCGCCTGGGCTCCCCCCCACCGGAGCCCCTCCGCGGCTTTGAAAGCCTCGGGGGAAGCCGGCGGGGGGGCATCCCAGGCGCGCATGGGCTGCCCGCCCGCCGGAGCCCCTCCGCGGCTTTGAAAGCCTCGGGGGAAGCCGGCGGGGGGGCATCCCAGGCGGGGCATCCCTGTGGGATGGGGAGTAACG